GGGGTGCAGGGGGACCCCGAGGGGGTCACTGGGAGTGGGGGTTCGCTGGGATGGAGTGGGAGGGGTAGGAGCTGTACTGGGGACTGGGGGGGGGCAGGAGGAGAGAGTACCAGGGGGTTCCGGGGTGTTACCAGGGGTGGGAATGTCCGGGAGATGTGGGATCCGGGGGGAACGGGGATGGCAGAGAGGCACCCCAGAGGGACTGGGAGCGCAGGAGAAAATGGGGTTTAGGGGGATGTGGGGTGCATTATGGATCAGGGTGGGAAATGGGGGTGCCGAGGGGATATGAGGTGCATTGAGGGTGTAGGGTGAGCTGGGGTGTTTCAGGGGTGCACAGGGGTGTGTGGGTGCACTGGGGGGCTTGGGGCACATTGGAGAGGGTGCCAGGGAGATGTGGGGATCCAGGGCATTAGGATGTGGGTGCATGGAGGTTGGGGAAGCAAGGGGATAAGTGGGGGTCAGGGGTCTGTGGGAGCCTTGTGGGTCAGGCTGCAGGGGGGGAAATGGGGGTGTCGAGAGGATGTGGGGTGCATTGGTGGTGTACAGATGCACTGGAGGGATATAGGGGTGCACAGGGGAGTAGGGGTGCAGGGGGTATGGGGGCCACTGCCATGGGGGGTGCAGGGGAGGGTATGGGTGCCGTCAGTATAACCGGGACCAGGGGCTTGTGCAGGGCTATGGCACCCCAAAACTGCTGCTGTCACCTGCAGGGGTGGGGGGACCCTCTGTGTGCCGCTGTCCTGCCTGGCCCCGGCGCCCAGGGACACTGCAGGGTTTGGGGGTGCAGGCAGCCCTCCACCCCCGTGCCAGGGTTCTCCAGGCCCCAGCAGTGCCACCTTGTCCCGTAGCCCCGGGGACCCCCAAAACCCCTTCCAGGGCCACTTTGCGCCATTTTGGGGTCAGAAAGGGGCGTTTCGGACAAAGCAGGGAGCGGAGGCGGCAGTTGGTGCAGCAGTTCCTTCCCGGCCGGTACAAAGGCAAAACAAACCGAAAGCGTGTCCGTGTCCGTGTCCGTGCCCATCCCGTGTCCGTGCCCGTGTCCGTGTCCATATCCATGCCCACGCTCCTCCCCCGGCTGCCGTGGCAGCGGGCAATGCCGCGGGGGGCCACCGAGCCCCTCCCGCGCCGGGTCCCCGTGGGCACCCCAGCCCCGCGCCGGCTCGGTCCCGTCTCGGCGCGGCCCAGGGGTCCCCCCGGTGCCCCGCTTTCCGCCGGTATCGAGGCGATGGCTTTTCAGCTGGAAGAGCGGTGGCGGTGGCAGTGGGTCCTAGGTGCCACCTCCTGTGGTCTCTCTGCGCTGCCGCGGTGGCTCAGACCCGGCCCTGGTCCCCCGGGATGTCCCATCCCAGACGGATGGGTCGCTCCTCGGCGGTGGCATCACCCCCAGAGCCCCGCGGGGTGCAGTGGGGTCCCCAGGGCGGCGGGGGATGCTCGCCAGGGGAGCCCGGCTCCCGGGGCAGGATCCGGCCGGGGCGAAGCCGCGTGGAGGGGCTCAGTGGGGCTGTCACTTGTCACCGTCCCCCCGGGTACCCCGAAACCTGCCGTAGCACGAGACTGAAGCAAGCGAGCATGCGAGGGCGGCGGGCGGGCGGAGAGGGGCATCCTATTCACCGGGAGAAAGCGCCCCAGAGGCGGGGCTGGGGGCTGGAGGGGACACGCAGCACGGGGAGGTGGGGGGGTGAGCTCGGTGACCCGCTCCAGGGGCGTGAGGGGACCCATCCAGCCTCCGCCGCCACCCAAAAATAAGCATCCTCCTCTGGCCCATCCCTGGGAGCATCCTCGGTGCCCAGAGCATCCTTGGCGGCGGGGCCGTGTGCCCGCTCGGCACCGGGGCGGGAGGAGCAGGATGCGGCCGGGGTGGGGGGGGTCACACAGCGTCGCCTTCCCACTCTGGGCTTCCGTGATGTCCGTTCGTCTGTCCGAAGGGATTGGCAGGACACCGGGACGAGCGCGGGCGATGGCGGCGGCGGCGGGGGAGAATTTACATGGCAGCCGGGGGGCTCCGGCCGGGGGCGACGCCTGCCCCCATCTCCCCCCGGAGCCCCGCGCCCCTCGGGGGCGTCGATGCGGGGGATGTCCGGGCTCGGTTGGAATCGGGGGCGTCTCTCGAATCCCCCAGCAGCCAGAGGGAGATGGGGTGGGCGATGGCGGCCGGGGTGGGCCGGGTCCGGCGCTACTCGATCACCATGCAGCACGGGAGGTGCTGGGAGAAGTACTTGAAGAGCTCCGGGGTGGCCCCGGGGCAGTTGGTGAGTTCCAGCTCCTCCAGCTCCTGCAGCTGCACCAGCCCCGACAGCCCCGTGGTGGTCAGCAAGGGGCAGCCTGCAAGGGGACAGGGCGCACTGTCAGCGCAGAACACCAGCGGCCCCCAAAAAACAGCATCCCAAAAAATAGCATCTCAAAGGCACCGACATCCCAAAACGCCAAAATCCCCCCAAACAGGACCAAAGGATCAGGACCTCAAAATCCCAGCACCTCAAAACTCAGCACACAGGACCCCAAAAAAAATAGCGTGCTAAAAAAATGTATCCCAAAAACCCTAACAGTACAAAAAAAATCACTCAAAAGATCAGCAACCAAAGAATGCAGCACTCAAAAATACACACAAAAATGCACACAAAAACCAGTACCTTAAAGCACCAGCACCCCAAAATACCAAGACCATCAAAATTAGCACCCACTAGAACCCAGAAAACCAGCATGCTAAAGAATAGTGCTCCAAAACACCTGCACCCCAAGGTCAGCCTAAAAACCCAACATCTCAAAGGACCAGTATTAAAAAAAATAAAACTAAAGCATCCCAAAAAGCAGTGTCCCCTAGCTCCTCAAAACCCAACACCCCAGAAAACTTGAATTGCAAAAGCATAGCTCCCGAAACACCACCACCCCAAAAAACAGCACACCCCAAGAGCCCAGCCCTGCGTCTCTCCCCACAGGCTGGGCTGGGTGCAGGTGCCTGCTGGCTGTCCCCAGGCTGTCCCCAGGGCTCTGTCTGTCCCCATGCCCCGTGCCTCCCCAGCCCTGTGGTGTCTCTGGTCCCCGGCAGAGGGTCAGGGTCTCACCAGCCAGCGAGAGGAGGCGCAGGCTGCCCATGCCCAGGAGGTGCTTCAGGCCAAAATCCTGCACCTGGAAAAGAAGATGGGATGGGGATGAGCAGGGGACAGCGGGGACAAGCACGGCACCAGGGCTCAGCATTGCCAAGCTGGGGGAGGGAACGGGTGGCAGGGCCGGGAACCTGAAGCGGGGTGCTGAGGCTGGCCCTGTGATGGGACAGGCTGCAGGGAGCTGGGCGCTGGGGAGGGCAGCCTCAGCAGGATGTGGGATGTTGCAGCAGGATGCTGGGGCAGGATTTTGGGTGCAGGGCTGGGTGCTGGGTCTGGGCTGTGCGACAGGGAGGGGAGCCAGGGCAGGGAGCCTGCAGCAGGTACCGGGTCTGGGGATTCTGGTGCTGGGGCAAGGATGCAGGGTCAGGGTGCCAGGGCTGAGTCCTGCTGAGCTCACAGGAGCTCTCTGCTTCCTGGCACCCAGTCTTGGGGTCTTCAGCCAGCCCCGGGAGCCCGCCCTGAGCTCATGGCCCGTCCCCAGGGAGGTGCCACCATGCCCTCTCTGCCGTGCTGAGCCAGGACGGGCGCAGCCGTGTTCCACACCTACCTGGCAGCACCAGCGCAGGTAGAGGCTCCGCAGGGATGACATGGTGGACAGGTAGCTGAGGCCGGTGTCGGTGATCCGCACGCACCTGCCGGGACACGGGGTGTCAGGGCCAGCTGGTCACCCATGGGTGTCCCCAAACCATGGCCCCCAAGCTGCACCCTCTGCTTCCAGCGTGGCTCAGCATGGCACGGCTTGGCACGGTTGGCATGGTTTGTCATGGGGTGACATGGCACGGCACAGCTTGGCATGGCGTGGCATGGCATGGCATGCACGGCATGGCATGGCTCAGCACGGTACGGCATGACTCGGCATGGCTTGGCATAGCTTAGCATGGCATGGCATGGACCGGCACGGCTCAACATGGCATGGCATGGCTTGGCACGGCACAGCACGGCTCAGCACGGCCCTTTACCTGTCGAGCACCAGCTCCTCCAGCTTGTGCAGGTCGCAGGCGATGTACTCCAGGGCCATGTCGGTGATGCGGGGGCACCAGGACAGGTCGAGGCTGCGCAGCTTCCGCAGGTTCTCGGCCACCAGCTCCACGCCATCATCCGTCACCTTGGAGCAGCCCGAGAGGCTGAGGACGCTCAGGTTGGGCAGGCTGTGGACCATGTTGACCACGCCGTGGTTGGTGATCTCCCAGCAGGAGTTGAGGCGCAGGGTGTGGGTGGTGTAGCCCTGCTTGGCGGTGAAGTAGGCGAGCGCCGTGTCCGTCACGTGGTAGGCTTGCAGGTTGAGCTCGGTGAGGTTGGGCAGGAGCTGCGAGATGGCGGCGATGGCGTCGTCGGCCACGTTGATGCAGTCGCTGACGCTCAGCGCCGTGATGCGGGCGTTGAGGCTGGACCACAGCCCCGCCTCCGTGAAGTCGTTGCAGCCCGACAGCTCCAGCCGCACCACGCCCTGCATCTGCTCCAGCATCACCTGCCGAGGGGCAGGGGGTCAGGCCGTGCCAGGCGCTGCCACCCACCCTTGTGCACCCCTGTGCCCCCATCCCAGCTCCCTCTGGGTGGCTCTTCCCACCGCTCCCAGACTTGCCTGGGTCCGGTCTTCTCCCTGGGACCTCCCTGTCATGGGTTCAATGCCTGCCTTGGGACACGCCAGCACCAGTGGGGAATGGGAGGGGACAGGCAGGGACCCCTGGGTGCAGCCCCGGGTGCTGCTGGCAGGGTTGGGATTGATACCCGCTCCCAGCACAGGAACTCACATCGGGTGAGATGTGCCCACGAGCAGCTGGTGCTGTGTTTGGCCATGGCACAGGGCAAGGACCTCAGTGGGGACCTTCCCTGAATTGCCCCATCTCTGGCCCTCAGCCCCTCGCTTAGGTGACCCCCTTGCTGGGGAGCAGCCAGCCAGGCAGGAATGTCCTGTTCCCAGGGCTTGTCACCCACTGCCACATCACCACCCAGCAGCACGGCCACCTCACCTGGCCCTGCCTTCCTGGCAGCACCCACAGGCAGCAGGGATGGAGCCCCGACAGCCCCCTGACCCTGCACGGGCTGCACCCACCCCGCTGCCCTGGCCACAGGCTGCCAGCACCTGTGGGGTGCCCATGCCACCTTCCTGCTCCTTCACTGTGGCCACTGAAAGCTCTGCCCGTGCGTGTGTCCCCAAGGCCACGGGGACCGACCCGCCACCAGCACATCTCAGCCACCCCGGTCACTTCAGCAGGGTCACCTACCTCCAACCCTGCATCTGTGATGGTCGACCTCTTAAGGCTCATGGACTTGACCCCCTTCTTGGAGAGGGGGTAGTTGTCAATGAACTCACAAATGTCCAGGTCAGAGACGCCCACGAGGCAGAAGCCGTCGAAGCCGCGGACGGCGAAGCCCTGCAGGCTGACGAACTCCTTCTCTCCACCGGGCAGGATGTTGTAGAGCTCTTTGGTGTGCAGGACGGGCGTCAAGCCCACCCAGAACTTGGGCTGGTAGAGCACCCGCCGCCATGCCTTGCACACCTGCGCCAGCACGCACTTCTCGCACGCCGAAAAGTACCAGAACAAGCGGTTGAGGATCTTCTCGTCCACGGCCAGCTGCCTTTCCGAGGGAGAGCCTGGCAGCCGCTCCGGAGAGGGCTGCTCCGAGCCCTCGCTCGCGTTCAGTCCCACCAAGGAAGCGCCGGGAGGGGAGGAGACGCTGGCCAGGGTGGCCAAGGAGAGCGGGGAGGCCAGGCTGGGGATGGGCAGGTCGCTGCGGTGGGCTAAGGCCGGGCTGAGGATGGCAGGCACGGAGGAAGGCTGGCACAGGCGGTTTTTCACGGCAGGGGTGCCTTTGGTGATGCTGGCGGAGCCGAGGCCGTTGGCTTGCGTGGGGATCTTCACCAGTCCATTGCGGGGCAAACATGGGGGCTTGGTGTCGCCGTTTCTCGGGTTCGACATCTTCCACAGGTCTCTCTGTAACACAGGGGTGTGGGGTGAGGGGCTCTGGGTCTGGTAGGGGGGTGGCCATGGCTGGGGGAGGTGGTGGCACCAGTGACGGGGGAGATCCTGGGGGCCCTCAGCAGGGTGGCACATGGCACCAGGTGGTGCAAGGCTGTAGGACACAGCCACAGAGGGGACATGTCCGGGACACAGAGCAGGGTCCTCCCAGAAGCTGCATAGCCCTGGCGTCCCCCTGTGATGAGGGATGGGTGGGGATTTATCCCTGGTCGTTCACATGCCTCTCTGAGCCTAGAATCCAGCATGGCTGATGGCAGTCAGAGAAGGATCCACAGACTGGTTTGCACTGGAAGGGACCTTAAAGCTCATCTCATTCCACACCCATGCCATGGGCAGGGACACCTTCCTCCAGACCAGGCTGCTCCCGCCTGGCCTTGGGCACTGCCAGGGATCCAGGGGCAGCCACAGCTGCTCTGGGCACCCTGTGCCAGGGCCTGCCCACCCTCCCAGGGAACAATTCCTTCCCAATATCCCATCCATCCCTGCCCTCTGGCAGTGGGAGCCATTCCCTGTGTCCTGTCCCTCCATCCCTTGTCCCCAGTCCCTCTCCAGCTCTCCTGGAGCCCCTTTAGGCCCTGGCAGGGGCTCTGAGCTCTCCCTGGAGCTTCTCCTCTCCAGGTGATCACCCCCAGCTCTGCCAGCCAGAGCAGAGGGGCTCCAGCCTTTGGCGCATTTCTGTGGAGAGGAGCGGGCAGAGGCAGAGGAGCAGAGCTGCCCGTGCCCACCATGCCAGCCAAGCCCTCAGCAGTGAGCCCGTGCCAGCCGTAGTGCTGCCGATCTCTGTGGAGCCCCTGGCAGCCGGGCAGCACCCAGCAAACCGGGCCAGAAAATATTGCAGTGGCAGCAGGGCCGGCTTCCCTAGGGCCCTGCCACGCCTGCCATCCATTATTCAACGCATTTCCCTCTATAAATATGGAGATGAATTATTGATGGGGGCTCAGCCCCCTCCCCCTGCCCAGCCCGGGCCTGGCACAGGGCCCTGCCCGACTGCTGCCTGCCCTGCCCGCAGCCTGCGTGCCAATGCCATGCCAAACCCTGCCAAAAATCTGATCCTGGCTACCCCTGGGGGCACAAGGAGCTGAACGCATGGAGCTCCCAGTGCACGGAGCAGGGGACAGGGAGCTGGCCCTGAAGCCCCAAGGGGTGGTTGGCACATCCATCCATCAGTGACAGGAGCTGAGGACCTTCTTGGCTGCCAGCTCTTCCCAGACCCGAGATTAAAGCAAGGGAATTATTATAGCTGCTTGATTTGGGATGGAGAAAGTCAAGCCCTGATGGCCCTGAGAGAAGGGCATCCTGCTCATGGCCAAGCTCCGTGGTCCCCGAGCCTGGAAGCAGGATGCAGCCAGACCCCCTGCTGCCCATCCCCTTCGCTCTCACAGCATCCCCGGCCTCATCCAACTCTCCTGGAGCAGCCAGGGACGGAGCAGCCACCCAAAAAAGAGCTCGGAAGCGCAGTCAGGTGCCGGTGGCACGTTCTGGAGCACCCGCGGGACGCGCGGCACACGGCGCCTCCCGAGGACCCGGTTCCCGGCACAGCGGGAGCGGCCGCAGCCCGCCCGGCTCGGGGGCGGCTCCGCCGAGCTGCAGCCCCGGGGACGAGCCCAGCCCTGTGCAGACAGCCTGGCGCCGCTCCCGCCGCCCGACGGCGGAGCCGGGCCGCCGGTGCTTGGACATGTGTTACATCCGCCTGAAAGCAGGAGAAGGGGAGGGGAGAGGAGAGAGCAACTTGAAACCAGCGGCTCGGCGCTTGGCAGCAATTAGGGAAGTAAACAGAACGTGCACCGGGGTGTCTCACAGCCGCAGAGCACCAATCCAAACAGATAATTAGCAGGTGGCACCGAGCCCGCAGCCGGAGCCGCTGGGCACGCTGGCTGGCCCCGGGGACAGGGCAGGTGGTGGCACAGGGGCAGCCCTGGGCCTCGGGAGCCCAAGGGGACAGTCACAGGAGGAGACAGATGCCGACAAGTCGCCGGACTCACATGCAGCCAGCAGGAGATTTTGGCACCACATCCAAGCAGCTCGGAGCTCGGCTGGTTCCTGAGGCTGAGCTCAGGGGGCTCAGGGGGCTCAGGAGGCTCAGGGGGTTCAGGAGGCTCAGGGGGCTCAGGGGGTTCAGGAGGCTCAGGGGGCTCAGGGGGCTCAG